GAACGTCACGGTAAACACGTACAGTCAACAACCGGTAAATCATTTAATTCAAGGTTATTGAGCTTGTCTCCACATTAGCTGCTCTCCATGAGGAGAGTGACAGCCTCAGCGGCCGGCTGCTAATGACAAACGAGTGCTGTCCCTTCATGAGTCGGAGCGTGCCAGTCTGCTGAGTGTCACCCTGCCAGAGAGATGAGCAGACAAGGCAGGCAGATTGAAACGTCTATATCAGCCTCTCCGATGACCCTGAGCCGCACCGTTCCTCTGCTCTGATCAGGCAAGATGAAGCTGGGAGGAGGAGGAGGGAAAAGGGCGTCCGAACTGTTTCGGTGCATTTTATCACCCTCTAAACGATGCCTCTGAAGACAAACACCCAGAGATTATTTCACCCCGAGAAACACTGTAATCTACAAAGGTCACCTCCTGCATACCAACACAGGGAATCCCAGGGCCTTCAGAAAGAACACCCAGCATCCTGCGATGTGAGGAGATTCAAATCCAAGAAGCCCTCAAAGGCCTCTGGAGTCATCATTAAGGTGTTACATGTCAGACTCAGGAAGAACGGTCATCCCAGCAGCTTCATGGTGCAGAAAATAGCAGAATCAGAGACGAAAATAACTAACTGTCCTTTAAATAAAGTTGTTTCTTTGTAATTAGCCTAATTAGTTTAAAGCTCAAATTAGATGTTTCTGCTCTATGGCTTTGATGATTTAAATAAAAATGTTTTAATAAGAAAAGTCTTTAATGACTGAGTTATCTGAGAAGCCGTCTTTTACTTTTTATTTACTGAATGACGGTCGGTCACTCCGAGTTTAACATGCAGGCTCAAAGTGAAAATAGTCTTCCTGTTTCCTGCTTTAGCCACTGAAAGAAAACAGACAGGACTAGAAAAGCCACACAGATCCATGTCACAGTGGACCCTCCCATCTTGGCTCGCGACGAGGAAGGCTGTTGTTGATTCAGCGTCCAAGGAGGGAGCAGAGCACGTCTCGGCTAGCAGAAGCTAACCGTTAGCATTAGCAACGTGCCACAACATGGCAGAACTCCATCAGGCTTGTGTTATTTGAGGAGATAAAACATCAGTGTTGAAAAGCAAACAGAGTCCGTGGTAGATTCGCTGTTAGCCAATCAGAGGTGAGATGTCCGAACATCTTAGCCTAGAAATCTAGATGGGCAAAATGATTTTGCTTTGCATGTCTGTCTAGCTATGCTCCATTGAACCTCAGCAGGCTCAAACAGTCTTGTGCCATACCAATCACAGCGCTCCGTCAGTTTGGTGGGCGGGATGATGTGACAGATCTAAACGGCTTTGTCATCAACTTTTGAACGTTTAGACTTGGGCTTTTCTTCGAGTCCTGAGCAGCTAGAGGTTCTCGCGTCCTTTATTCAGAAAAAGGATGTATCTGCTTCTTCTTCAACTTCGTATGGCTGATTGCCTCGTTGACTGACATCCGTAGTGGTGAATAAGTCATGTTGTTCGTTGTCCAATGGCATGCGGAGACAGTTAGAAAGACGACCGTAGATCCCGCCGCACAACTGAGCTCTGTCTACAGGTCGTGGCTAGACTATATATTCACTTATAAGGGATGGCTTGCCAGGCTAAGAATATCAGGAAATAAGACTCAAAATCTGGCCGTGTTCTGCTCTCCTCGCCTCTGACTTACTTCTACTTGCTGAAACAGGAGAGCGAGAACTTCTCTTCCACGACTCACAAAGCATTCATTGATGCTAGAGACCATTGCAAATGTGTTGGAAAGTGTAAATGTTCTCTAACCCTCCATGTTAACGTTCCATAACAAAATTAGATGCTTGCCTGTGCAAAAGATCTTTGCTTCCAAAAATGCAATTTTCCTTTTGAGTCTGCGGCTTTTCAATAAAGTCAGATTTATTCCAAAGTTGGAACAGATTGTGTGCTGCGATTGATGAAGTGCGTAGAGTTCTGAAACACCTTCCCTATGTATTTTTTCCAACAATCTCTCAGCCCAGGTATGATTAAAGACATGAATGAGTTATTCATGGGAACGTCATCCATCTCTCCTAGGCACCGCCAATCCGGACTCCAACCAGGCTCCTGTTAGAGCTCAGCCACGAGCCAATCTCTGCATCCAATTGCACCAGAGCAATTGATTACTTTCCATGCCTCTCTCCCTGCAGCTTTGTGGCCATTGTTCAGAATCCTTTACAGCCAAACATCATCTCATTCCAGGCCAGAATGAAGGCTGCACAGGTATTTTAACAGGCACACCTGAAACATGCAGCTGTTCTCCATCTTTACTGGAGACATCTCCTACTTTGACTGCAGGGCAGCGTTCCCAGAGCTCAGTGATGATTTTTGTAGGTTCAAAGCAGGTTACGTATTTATTTCATTCCAGATGACCGCTAGTAGTAAACATGTGGAGCTCTCCCGGTGTACCTAACAGCTTAGTTTGTCTCAGAGGCACGCAGAGAGAACGTTTGTGGCTGCAGATTGCTCTCATTTCAGCCAAATGCTTTCCACTGAGTTAATTTGCATAAAATAACTGGTCCCACGTTCAACTTGGAGGCATGGATTTGCTAATCACTGCAGCTAAAAAATTATCATTGCTGATGTTAAAGAGAGGAAAATGTATGTGTGACTTACTGGTTAAATTAAGTCTGGGAGTAGATAGGGCTGCACAGTGGCTGCTGCCTTGCAGCAAGGAGGTTCTGAGTTCACATCCTGGCCTGGATTCTCTGCAAGGAGTTTACATGTTTTGCCCGTGCATGCGTGGGCTCTCTCCAGGTACTCCGGCTTCCTCCCACAGTCCAAAAACATGACTGTCAGGTTGATTGGTCTCTCTGAATTATCCTTAGGTGTTAGTGTGTGCGTGCATGGTTGTTTGTCCTGTGTGTCTGTGTTGTTCTGCATGGACTGGCAACCTGGCCAGGGTGTACCCCGCCTGTTTGCCTGATGGATGCTGGAGATAGGCACCAGACACCCCCCCCCCCCGCGTGGACAAGCCAGTGTAGAAAATGGATGGATAGATTTTAATTGAAAAAAATAATTGGTGTGATTTTTATTTTTGACATTTTACAAAAAAAGTGTTAATTACTTTGGTTACATTTTGTACACGTCTAATCTTTTTTCTATGTTAATTAGTCTTAACCTGCATATGAGATAAATCCACTCACTAATTTATTCATTCCAAGTAAAATTGTTCCCATTGCATAGCCAAATGTCCATTTGATCCAGAATCCTGTCAGACATTAGAAGATTTTGATGATGTAGAAGATGTTTTAGTTGTGTGGATAATGGTTTCTGGGCCTTCTCTCGTTTTTTCAGCTTTACCTGAAACAGTTGTTTCTTTTTCGGTTGATGCTATAAATCAACCCCAGAGGACAAACTGGTTTATGATTTACTTATAGGTTGTTCTAGGTTCTTATCTATATAATCCATGTTTTCTGACCCAAACTGTTTAATCACTCCTGATGGATGTTGGCTGAATTGACATAATTCTTCTTGGACATCTGCAGCAGCAGCAGCAGCAGCAGCAGCTCTCGTTCATGATGAAAACAGACTCTGCAACCTCTCAGGGTGGCCTTTTGCTGGAAGGATTCTTTTTTTTTATCTTTGTCTGCAGAGAACTCAGCTGCACGTTTTCCACAAGGCTGTGGAGGATTACAATAAGCTGTAGTCTTAATGAGGGAACTCTGACTGTTTGCACAAATGATAGCATGAAGGAAAAGTCGAAGCACAGAAACATAAACGATGTTCAGGAACAGACAGAACTGTTCCTTTTACACTCTTGAGCTCATGTTTGGCGGTTTGGAAACAACAAACAGTAATGAAGCTCCTGTCCCAAAATGTGTGCTGATCCGTGTTCCTGCTCCCGGCCAGCCAGTGTCCCACATTCAGAACCAGGTTGGTGGATTTGGGCCGTGGTGCTGATGCTGAGGACGAGCACTCACGCCTGTCTGCTTCTGATGTGTCTATCCATCATCCAGACGAGGCCTCTGCTTCCTCATGCCTTCATCACATCTCATTCTTTCTTCTGAAGAGAAACAGCACTCTCCTCCTGCTGGAACCTCAACACCCCAAATATGTCCTCCACTCCTTAGTTCCCTGTCTGATCCTTACTTTAATCTGTTTGTTCCAGTTCCTTCTCCCTTCTTTCTGCACCGTCTACTTCTCCCCATGGCCAGGTCTCATGTAACTTTTACCCCTCCCCATCCCTCATCCTCCATAGCTCTCAAAGCCGTCTGCTCCTTGTCGTTTTCTTAAATTCCTGCCTCTTCTTTTTTTTATATCTCAACTCAATACTCTTTCATCTCCTACAACACTTTGTCATCTGCATCCCAGGGTGGTGTTTGCTAATGAATACGAGGTGACCTGTGCTCAAAGAATCTGAATGACTCATAATCCGAGCATAGAGGATTCCTTGTTGGCTCTTTCATTAACAGCTCTGCTCATAACCACCATCATGCACCTCCAGCCTTCACCCACAAACAGTTTCCTCCTCAGCTTTTCTAAAGGGAGAAATGCAGGATGATGAGCAAACTGCTTTTTAATTGGCCATATGAATAAACTTGTCTGAGAAGCAGAGAGGCAGATTTGCTGCTAATTAAGTTGTTTTCTGGTGCACGATCCTTGTCTTCAATGAACGCTGGTCCAAAAGAGGGCAGGAGGACTCTTGTGACCCCCCATCCTTTTCTGCCCACCGGTGCTTTATTATTCATAGCCCGATGCTGGCAAAATCTGAGCAATATGCCGTGTTTACGCATGACGCATGTGTACTTGTAGTGTAGCAGCGTTGTGACTCAACTTCCCTGGGGATCACGGGCAAGCCTGCCTCTCATCTCCAACCCTAAACACGAGTTTCAATTCAGCTGCTGACGAGGATTCAGATTTAGAGAGACAGGGGGGACTTTTTCCCTCTTATTTATATTTGTTTGGGTTTGTTGTGTTGATTTATTTGTTTATTGATCCTTGAAAGCCTTACACTCAAATTGAACGCACACAGGTGAAATGAACTTCTACTTACGGTAGAAGATGTATTGTGCGTAATTGGACCAGACCCTGTCGTCCGCGTAACGGCCCGCGGAGGACGCGGTGAGGGACGTGTTGCAGGCCACGATGTGAAAGCCGCACTCTGACAGCATGTCAAAAGCCCTCTCCAGGTGTTTGAAGCGGAGGTAAAACCTGCAGGTGTAGCGGTCCGGTGGGCGGTCCGTGTCCCTGTTCTCGCTCAGCGCGTCTCCGAACACCTCTTTAGCCAACCCGATCCTGCTGCTGATGAAGATTCTTGGGAACTTTTTTGGCTTGGACTCAGGCTGACTTTCCCTGCCTCCCGTGGAGCACGCGCCCCTGAAAGCCACCGTTATGTATCCGCACTTCCGGTCCAAAGGGTGAGACGCGTAAAACCTTTGGTCGCTGCTCTGGGATTCATCATCCCGATCGCTGAAGTAGAACTCATCCGGAAAGAGTTTCGACTCCTCCACGGAGAGCAGTTTGGCCAAATCCGGCAGCTGGAAGTACTCAGCCTCTCTTTTCAACCTGCCCCTCTCTGGAAAGTGGTCAGGGAGGACCACCTGCTTATCTCTGAGGTAGTCCAGCACATACCGAAACAAAAAGCCATCCCTGTCGATAAAGTAGCGTCCTCTGAGGTCCCGTGACAAGTCATTTGAAGAGCCTTTCTTGTTAGAAAAGAGCTTCCCCAGCAGGGAATTTGGAAAGCTTGTCAGGGTTGCGTGACGAGTGTAATAAACCTGCCCACCCACGTTCAGCTCAATAACGTCCGCTGAAGGATTCTGCGCCTCTTTAGCAGGTTGCGTTTTACAGTTTTCGCTCAGTGCCATTTCCCTTCTGGCTTCTGCAAACGCAGACGCACACACACGCACACAAAAACTGAGTCTGCTTCACTGAACGTCCCAGAAGTTTAGGGTTCGGGTGCAGCTTTGTGCCCTCAAACCCAGCGCATGATCAGATCTGCAGCCCTCGCATCCAGACCAATCCCAAGGTGTGTCCACTGTACATCCCTCATGCGTAAAGGTGCGCGGTGCATCCTCTCCGGGTGGTATCGATTCTCATAATCAGCATCATGTTACTCCGTTACTTTATGAAGTAGAATCCTCCCCTGACGCTGACACTTTCCACCACAGAAATCCAAACATCTCAAGTTTCCTGCAAAATCATATATCGCCCGATTTGCAGCTCAGCTGCCTAAATCCAAAACGAACTAAACCGAGAAACGCAAATGCATCTTCTCACACTGCTGCTGAGCGCTCCTGACTGCTGAGCTGCTGAAACGCGCTCACGCTGGGAGGAGGCTGGAAGCGGGACTCCTTTACGCACCGCATCTCTCCAAACTGCTGAGCGGAAGCAGCTAGCACGGCAGAAGGTTTAAGATAATGTTGCTCCAAGCTGTGCCATGAAGAAAATAAGAGAGGGGGAGAAATCATCCGGTGAAGTAATGTCTTACATCATCTTAAAGGAAAATTTAATTTTCGGTCTGACGACGTGCTGATGGGGGAGCATCTGCTCGATTTGTTTATTCTTGAAATTCTGCTCTGGCCAGTGGCGGCGCGCGCAGCTGGCGAGGAAGATTCGGGGCAATGCACTTTGAACGTTTCAATCCCTTTCCTTTGATTTTCAGAGGCTTTGTGCGTTCATATATTTAACGCTTAGCTCACGCGCTCTGAAGGGGGCTGGTGTAACTGCGCCTTGCTCAGAAACTCTCTGACCGGTGATTTACATGATAACCCTATTTCCTTAAAACGCTCTTCCCCTCCATGCATCATAGAAAAAAAAGCAATGAAGTGAGGAAAATAGAGGTGTCCGCTGCGCTCCTCCACATGTCATTGAATCGGTCATCTCTTTAATCCAGAACGCAGTGACAGGATATGAAAGCGGATCCCCTCATCATCATCGATTTGATTTCAACAAGAGGATTCTTATTTCAGCTCTGCGGGCGCAGCTCAGCGTCACCGCAGCTCCATTTATCCACTGACCATTAATAAATGCACATTGTTCAGTGCGCAAAGTTCCCTCAATCTCTCGGGTAAAGCCACAAAAGTGTGTAGGTTTGGGTCTTTTTGCTGCTAAGTGATTATGTCACATAGTCAGCTGCTGTTGTGGGGTGGGGTGGTTGGGTGTAGTTATTGATCATCCCTGTTATCGTTTTGCACAAATGTGTATGAAAATAATAAAAAATAATACACCTCAGTTTGAAAGGTGTGTGTGTGTGTGTGTGTGTGTGTGTGTGTGTGTGTGTGTGTGTGTGTGTGTGTGTGTGTGTGTGTGTGTGTGTGTGTGTGTGTGTGTGTGTGTGTGTGTGTGTGTGTGTGTGTGTGTGTTATAATAAATCATGGTCTTCTTGTGAGCTGATGGGAGAGATCACCCTTGACTCTTGTTTTGAGGAGGCAGCGGTCACGCGCCACCCTGTTAACTCCGAGGATATTGTGCTGGAGAGGGGTTGCTAAGCAGCCGCGGGGGACTGTGGGATTTAAACAGTGGGGATTTTAGAGCCACAGCAAAATCACTAATCTCTGTTTTCCCCCTCTCTCTCTCTCCCAGGATGTGAGCATGTGCTGCTCACACTGGCATCAGTGTTATTGTGATGGTTGCTAGATCATTATACCTCCATTTGGTTGGGGTTTTAAAGCATAGGCTACTTCTATAATGATGGGTTCATTTCCTGGGCTGTGCTTTAACGCTTTTATCCCTATTAGTCTCGCTCATTTTCCCTTTAGAGATGGCTTTGCTTCTTGTCTTAATTGCTTTATTTAACTTTTGGGAGAAAGTCCCAGGTTAGTTTCTTTCTTTTGCAAAGGGTTGAGGTTCGTGTGATTTCAGCATGCACACGGCTCTTGTGTGCATGAAGCAAGAAGACATGTGCAGGAACTTTTGTAATTGTTAGAAGTTAATTTGCTTTTGCATTTTTGGTTTCAGTAAAAGACGCGATGTTAAGAAATTATTTCAGTTTAGATCTATTCCTACTCTTGAAGAACATTTTCTCGTTTCCTGGTTTAGAAATATATAAATGCCTGCTTTATGAGGCTGAAATATGCAGCAGACAACAAACAAAAGCCTGACCCTCTCTGTAGAATAATCATCTCTATTCACATGGAGCCTCTCTTGTTTTGCTTCCTATTCTCCCACTCAATTTCATCCACTCATATTTTCACAGAAAAGAGGCAGTGGTGTGAACTGGCATGTTTAGAGAAACACAATGTATTTTGCAGTTTGTTTGTTTTTTGGCAAGTAAATAACATTTTTCTAAAAATACACCCTCCTCTTTAAATTCCTGTTATTAAAGTAAACATTGAAATACAAATTCCTGTAGATATTCCTATAAAAATATATTGACCATTCATTTTCTTTTCTGCAACAGTAAGTTCTCCTTAGCCCCTGCTGGATTCCAACTTTTAGTAAGATAAAGTGACTTAAACCTAGACATAGGCTGGAATTTGCATGCTTTTACACTAATGTTGCAATAGTTGATGCAGTTGCATCATTTACCGTCTCATTACTTGCTCAACAGCTGTAGTTTGAGCTGAAATCCTGAAAGTCAGTTCCTTTTTTTTTTTGCAAAATAATAGTAATGTAATACTATGTGAACATGTTTTTGATTTGTGGTAAATATTTCCACCTAAATAATTTACTCCCTGATATGTGTCTATGTGAAATAAAAACAATATTTTGGTTTTGTAGTTTAAGGAAATGTATTTTAAAGTGTCTTTTTTATTGTTTATATCGTATTTTCTTAATTATTTCTGCTTCTTTTTAGTTGTGTTTATAATTAATTTTCTGTATAATAATGTGTTTTGCATCATAATTTCTGGGGTTTGATGCATTGTTTTGATTTTCAGCTCCAAATGTAATGTAGTTACGGCCTTTAGCCAGCAGGTGGCAGAGTTGCTCGTTGTAAACAGGGCATTACTGGCCTTGCCTTGATCTCCATTTTGTATGTTTTTCTTCGAGGTTAGCACCCTCCTTTCTAGTGGTTAGCTGCAGAACGTAAGCAGTGTGGCATTTTTGCATGAATACTCGCTGCAAAAATTGGAAGTGGGAACCTGAAAGCTGTTAGAGCACGCCTAGATAAACGCGTTTTGTTCTTTATTTTAGCCATGTAGCGACGACACGACGGGGGAAGGTTAATAGAATCTGTCAGCGTGTTGTGAACTGCCACTTGCAACCAAAACAATGTTGACTGATGACCTGTGGACACTTGTCAGCAGCCAGTCTCTTCAAGGGTAAATATGAGGATTTGTTTTTAATAGATTTAAACGATCAACAACATCAATGTAGCAGAGCATGATTGGTAAATGTGCACTTATAATTGTTGTGTTAGCCAGTTAGCTACCGTTAGTGTCAACGACATTCGAGCGAATTATAGCCTGCAGTTAGCATAAAAGCTAACGGTAGCATATCTCAGAGTTTGGTCAACTTGAATCGTTTTAACGCACAACGCGCGGTCGAGTTCACGTTGCTTGTTTTGTGTAATAATTGTGCAACGCGTGGGTACGATTTTGTGGACTTTTTTGTCACCGTTTTGATTAATTTACTCGCTAACAACAGCTAGCCCCCGTCTGCTAGCTGTCAAGCTCGCTGGGAGGGAGGGAGTGTTTTCACTGTGCAACCAACCGTTCAGCCAGGCTCATGGTAGAGCAACCACTGACCGTGTTCAGGGTCCAAAAGGATCCAGAGGCCTCTAGATCCTTCTCGGTTGGGCTGAAAAAAAGGATCACTACATTGTCGTTTTCGTAATGGGTTAACTGTAAAAGTGATCCCTGTTTGTTATCGGCACATTTTGAAGGACACAGCTGTTTATTACCATTTTATTATTAAATACACACGCTGTGAAGTTTTAATTCACTCCTATATTTTGCATAATTAGCTCACTAGTCTTGTTCAATAGTTCTCATTATGTTTCCTGTGTTGATTTTACATTTATTGTCTTTAAAAGGCCTCATCCCTGACTGCAGCAGTTTAGAAAATAAAGGTGATGGAGAAGAACTAAGTGTAGATAATGATGCTTATTAATGCAAGTTCCCATTTGACTTTCTCTCTGCTCATGAGCCAATGCAATCTGCCTTCAAATGCACTTCAGGGTGCCTTTTCCAGAACAACAGTGCCTTTGTGCCACTATTTGTTGTGCTTGCTAATATATCTTGCTGTAAATTAGAAAAAGAAAATGGCTCAAATGCAACATTGCTCAGAGCATAAACACACAAAAAGAAAGCAAAATAACAAGTCAAATGATTTAGATTTGAAGACTAATCAAATTCAATTCAATTCAAAAATACTTTATTAATCCCAGAGGGAAATTGATTAGCACAGCTAATAGACACGGTACTAAAAAGGCAGTAGTTGTTTTACTAGACAGTTGTTAATTCTGCCTTATATCATTCTTCCTATGAGCCATAAAACGATAAATGATTGTAATCTGATGAAATTCTAGCTTTTCCACATGTCCAGTTATTCTGTGTTTGCATTCATGTCCTCTGAACTCTCTAACATTTCTTTCTCTGCGACATTAAAGATGAATCGAGGTGGAGGGAAGAAGGTAACATTCAGAGGAAATGACCATCTGAGCAAGCTGGTCTACACCGAGAGTCCTGAAGAGGGAGGTCTGTTAAAAGTGGCCCCTCATAGCGCTGTGTCCCTCACCTCTGCCTCTTCCATCGTTCTTCCATCCAGCCCCCTGATGCAGCCAGGACAGGTGGCGAACGGTCTCAGCAACAGCCCCTTTCCAGATGAGCTTACCTCCGCCTCGGCCCCTGCCACCATTGGTTCCTTGGTAGAAAGTCCAGAACCCAGGGGTGTGACCAAAGATATTAGGCTTCAGCAGACACTCTTATTTCAGACTCAGACTTCCACTGCTTTTGGGCATCAGAACTTGCCCCAGTTGGAGGCCAGTATGGTAGACATTACCCAGTCCTCCATGGATTCTCTCATCGGGGGGTCAGACCCCAACTTGTTCGCCATGAAAACAGAAGATTTCTCCTTGGATAAAGGAGAGCAGGATCCCACTGATTTTGATAATGCCTTCGACTCAATCAGTAAAGATGTGGACATGAACCAGAAACTGTTCAACGATGCATCTCTGGACCTTCTTCAGGAGTTTGACCTCACGGCATCCCCCTCTGACTTTTATGTAGGAGATGATGCATTTCTGACCACTTTGGTAGATGAGTCTTTGCTTGTGGACGGGGAAATCCGAGGCACATTCGAAAGGGACATAAAACCGGCCATAATCGAGAGCATTAACACCACTGGGGCGCTCACTGCTGCCCTCGATGGCAACAGTGCTACAAGTCCACATGAATCCATCTCAGGCTTCTCCTCCCCTGCTTCCACCCCGACCACCACTTTGCCCGTCGTGGTGAAAAAAGAGAAAGATACAGGCTTCATTCAGCTCTGCACCCCAGGTGTGATTAAGCAGGAGAAGGCTGCTGGAGGCTACTGTCAAATAAGCTCCACAAACCCCATTTCCATTTGTGGGGTGAGCACTTCAGGAGGACAGAGCTTTCATTTTGGAGTCAACTCCAGAAACAACGAGTCTCTGCTGCAGAAGGATCAGAAGCCGGTGTCCGGCTTGTACCTTCCAGTGACGACCATCGGTGGAGCCTGGAACCGTAGCCCGAGTGTGGGCGACAACTCGCCAATCCACCGGTCTGATGATGCCTTCTCCAGCTCCCCCACCTACCCCAGCAGCTTTGGCAGGTAAGGGATGCGGGCAGAACTCAGCAGTGGTTGACTTTTCCTTTACCACTCGGGAACTGTGGTCAAAAAAAGAGACACCTTGTTTTTCTCCTGAGGATTTTAAATAAGTCTTTTTCCCTTTACTTAGGCGAAACTTTTCGACCGACCCTTTAGTGAGCTAAATGAAAGTCCTAGCTGTGTTCAGGCGCTCTCACAGTAAAGATTTTAAGCATAATTTAAGATTTTCTGTTTATGTTCCCTGGCAGTGTTTATTCCTTTGCTTACTGATGAGTGTTTTATTGTTTTCACACTATTGGCTGCATGGTGTTTATTTACAAAACTTTTATTGCTTAATTTTACAAAGTCTTCTATGCAGAAAAGGGTTTCAGTATCGCAGGTCAGATGTCTGGTTGTTTCAGTTGCTTCTGCAATAATATAGAAATGTCATAAAAGTCACTAAAACGACTGCGATCCTGAATAAACAAAGCTTATCTGTTTAGTGAAAATCATGTACGGGAACACTCTTTGTAGCACTTTCACATAAAATGCCTGAAAATTTAGAGTTATACAAATTATTATTGTCAGAAATGAGAGAAATCGTTTGATTCATCTGTAACATTATGCATCTATCAGTAGGGATGCACCGATCAGGTTTTTTGTTGCCGATCACCGATACCGATCACGTGGATTGGCCAGAAATTTTCTACAACATTATAATGAGTGCTACAAACTACATAATCTGGGAATAAAGGAAATGCAACCTAATCTAAAATGGTCTGTATTAGGGTTGTCACGGTGTGAAAATTTAACCTCACAGTTATTGTGACCAAAATTACCACGGTTTTCGGTATTATCGCGGTATATTTTTTTAAACGTGCTACATTTTCACACAATTAAATAAACCCTGTATGTCAGGAAATATTGTCCTCAGTTTGTGTCTAAATTTTGCCTAAAATATGCTATTTTGTAATGATGTTTATTTGTTTACATATTTCCCCTTTAGTCTTTAAAATGCCAATATTTGCCCATAACTTCTTATTTTTTGTCTGTTTGATGTCATCATTTTAAAAATATTAGTTCAGATGATACTCAGTACTCAAGTAGCCTTCTAATCAGATACTTTTTTACCCTTACTTGAGTAATAAACCCTATATCAGGAAAATGTTGTCCTCGGTTTGTGTCCTTCCAGTGAGCTTTGCAGATGTGGTAAAATGTCATCAGGCAGTAATCGTTGTTAAATTTATAATTATTCTCGGAGAGAGACCAACTCTTATCTGCCCCTGGGAGCCCCGTAATGCATAGCATCATTTCAACATGGGCGTGTTCGCGACACGGTTTATATGCAGGTAGCGGCGCTGCGGCTGCTTTATATAGCGACTCGTTGCATTCTCCCTCAACCCAAATCCTCGGATCACGCATTTTAGCTAAAACGCTAACGTTAGCTTGCCTTGCGTTGACTGTAGAGTTGTGGGTGATGGTCACGCAGATGTGTCATGAGATTTGAAGCGTTGCTGCCTTTCACAGACACTTTTTCTGCACGTGCTGCAAACAGGATAGCCGTCCGTCTTCTATAAACTCCCTCGGCATTCTTCAGATATCTAAAAGATGCCCGAACTTCCCACTTTGTCTTCTTTGAGGGATAAAAAATGTCCTCCTGAGCGCTGCCGTCTCTTCCTTTGGCCATTATTTCAGCTTTAGCTTCAAGAAAGTTTTGGTTGTAAATAGCAAAGCGTGCATGTGCCGTCGGCAACTTCAGCAGATGATACGGTGGCTGGTAAGGGTCACCGCGCCTACACCGCAGCCACGGTAAACCCACCAAGATAATATAGTTTTTTAAACAAACTAGACGGTTATTATTGTCAACTTTTTTTTTTTTTTACCGGGGTTTACTGCTACACTGGTTACCATGACAACCCTACCTGATCGGTCTGCTTTGATCTATTTTGAAAATTCCGATCAAAACCGATAGGGGCGCTATCGACCGATTACGATCAAATGCCGATCCATCGGTTCATCCCTATCTATCAGGTCACAGAGGTAGTGATAGTAGTACAGTGATCCCTCGCTACTTCGCGGTTCGTTTATCGCGGATTCACGACTTTGCGGATTTTTTCTTTGGAGCCTTATTCAAGGGAAATCTGCAGATTTGCGGTATTTTTCACCGATTCGCGGTACTATGCGAAATATCAAGAAATTCCTGTTTTTTTTTCATCAATTTCATCATAAAATGCACTTTTTGTAATAAAACTATAAAAAAAACAAGTAAAAAAAATTTTCTTGAGTTTTACCCACAAAAAGAGAATGTGCTGTACTGTAAATATGGTGTCCCTACTTCGCAGATTTTCATCTATCGCGGCCAGGTCTGGAACGCATCTACCGCGATAAACGAGGGATCACTGTATTCTTGTGTTTCTGAAGTAGCCTGGGTATCACAAGCAGAAAGAACACAAGATGGTTGGAGGAAAAAACAAAAATTGCACAAAATGATTCACATTTATTTTATGAATGCTCAAATTACATCATATTAATAAGTGTGTTTCCTTTACCCTGACACACGGTTTACTAAGCAATAACTACTGAACTCCAACTGCCATCTCAAACGGGGAATCAGATCCGTTAACATTTAGCAGCTCTGGATGTCATCCGTATATGTGTAGGTTACATTCCAGCCACCGATCATAAGCTTTCTCTGAGATGTGCTATTATACGTCTGATAAATGACCTGCTGGACTTTTCTGTTTAACAACCTGTTAACCTTAAGTAGTCTCTCAGCTGGGAGCTCATGGGGTTCTGCCCGGCTCATTATCCAGCTGTGTTATTGCACAAGTAAACCTGAGCTCTGCATCAGCTGCACTTGGAGCAGACGTGTCCCTGGGAAACATTTCGTTTAGCGTTTAGAAAGAGAAAACTGTGGCCTGATTGATCAGGACATTAAAATCCTTGCTTCATATGTAAGGATAATGGCTCCTTGTTCTTCTTCCCTTTGGAATTTCTGCTGGGACTTTTTTGTTCTTTGTGTCTGTGCTTCACTTTGCCCGGTGAAGTGTGTTTAGTGTTTTCGTTGCCCCGCTGCCCTCTAAAGTATGTGAGGCACAGCTGTGAATGCAGCATCATGTAGAAACAACCTTCTCATGGGCTCTCGTGTTTGTGTTTCTTTCACATTCACGCCTGTCTGCTTTCCTAGTCGACAGACAGTGATCAGCTCAAACTTTGCACGCCAATCCTGTTAGCAAGAGCTATGGTTGCGGCTGCTGCCTGGGTCCATTTTCACTCACATTTGTGCGATTGCACCTCTACCAGGAGCAGATGGGTAAAGACACGAGATACACCTCAGCTTTCTTTCTACACCAGGCTCTAATCGCCCCGTCTTTGTGTTCTGAATAGGTGTGTGTATGTGTGTGCGTTTAAGATTAGGACTAGGCATGTGCGTGTGGTGTGAGCCCTAATGATCTTGTGTGGGTGTGTCGTTGTTTGGTCTGTCAGACCCAACAGGTTATAAGATCAGCACTTCTCTGTTTTTAATGAGAGGGAGTTTGTTTTTGTGTGAAGCTTCTTCACTTTTTTGTGGTTGTTGCAGCAGCCATAAACTGGTTTCCATCTGCTCCAGTTTCTCAAGTAGGGGCACCACTGCTGCTGAGATTCGCTCAGAAGACCTTGTTTAACACCCAATATCTGTCCTGCCATAACCTTTAAGTTTAGAGCGTCCCCAAATGCTGGGACACCTCAGTAGGGGTGAGGGACAAAACCTTTTCATGCATCTCAGTGCAGGCATAAACAAGTAGGAATAATCGTATCCTAATATAATTATTAACACAGTGATGATGAACGTAAACTACAGAAAGCAAAGGCGAGATTCTAAAGCATGAATGCCTGGACCGTACAAAGACGAGTTCTGCCTGTGTGCAAATGTTTGCAGTGTGAATCATGACTGAGGAGAAGGTGCATCATATAGTGAACAAGTGAATGTTGTAAACACAACAGAGACAGCTGAGTGGGGCCAGAGTTGTGATCACTACTGCCTGACAAACATGTATAGACCAATTACAAACCCAGGGAGAGATAAAACATGCACAAAGTAAACATATTAAAGGGGACAATGAATCTAAACTAACATTTTCTTGTTGTTTGTGAGTAAAAAGAGCTTGGGTGGACAAAAGTAGCATGCCAAAAAGTCAAAGCCGTGTGTGACCTACTTTTTATGTAAATTAGAAAGTTTAAAAATGCAAGAGAGAAACTTCTTTTCTAAGAAACCTCATAAAAACGACACAATGTGGAGCCCTTCCTCCTCCAATCTGTAGTCTCTAGTGTGTAAGGCCTTCTGGTTTAAACCAACCAATCAGCAAGCAGCTCATTAGCATATTCATGTCCTGGCCAAGTGGGTGGGGTAAACAGCTCTTCACAGCAAGGCTGATTTCCTAACCCTATCAGGGCTCCTGGGACAGATGAAAGCCAAAAGAAAATTTCTTATGCTTCTTAGACATTCAAAGCAGCGTTTTAGATTGCTGATAAACTGCATTCTCTGTCCCCTTTAAAGTTGAACTTACAAGGGCAATAGATTCAAAATAATTTGTCATTGCACAGATGTGCAACTACTTTGACTTTGCACTCACTAAAGGATGGTCATCAGGTCTGTATTCACTTTGAATCCTTTGTTTCTGAGCTCTCGTGATTCAGAACATTCCCGATGTTGACTCTTGTTCAATTCCTGTGGTTGTGGTCGGAATTTCTTTTTATTTTTTAGCTTCATCAAATTAAGTTTTTCTTTGTTTCTTCTGAGGCTCTACCATGATAAACACATTACTATAAATGCTAGCTCGCTAATAGCTCATCTGTCCTGAGGTGTAAACATGGATTGCCTAAAAGCGTTACTGCTTCACACAAGAAGTGGGGAGTGGTCTGTATACTCTGAAGTTGCAAGTGTGGTATTCTGGCCACAGGGTGCATAGGGGTGACTTTTCATTAATCTTGCAAAGGGTCATTTTAGCACATACTGGCTCAGGAAAAAGATTTAAAAGCATAAA